GAAATGAATTTTGAACGTCTCATGACTCCTGCATCTGATAGGCTCCTCTCTGACAAGGCTTTTTAACTCACTTCCAATTCAAAGGTAGGAATAGTTCATTATGCAATTTAAGGGATGAATGAGTTAACATGGTAGACACCACACTCTTGTAACGTACACTGGTATTATGCTTTCGTCTGTTTTACTTGCTGGTATTCCATACATTTTATTAACCACATTACACTCTGATCTTTCCCAGTTGACACCTCTCTGGCCTCTCCTAGATGTCTCTTTACCAACATACTTTCTTGACTTTGCCTTGGAGATCCTCATCTGAGTCATTCTCCTTCTATATAACATCACCTGGTAGAAGTGATTGATCACCCTCTCCTTCTTTTTCCTGGCAGTATCTCCTTAGTCTGTCCTATAGAACCCCCAACTAACCTGATAGACTGCCTCTCTGGTGTCCCCATAAAGACCCCTCCCCCAACACCTCTCTCTTAATGTTAAGTATTTCTGATAAGTCCCTTGTCTTATATCTCCTTGTGTGGTCGGGTGACACAGTGGATAGTGCACTTGCCTTTCACCAAGATGATCTGGGTTTAATTCCCCCATCGGATGTGAAAAGGTATGGAGTCACCTCCCTGACCATGTTAATTTTCTCCGGGTACTCTGGTTTCCTCCCACATACCTGTCTAATATTTACTTTATTTCAAGATTTTACAACAACTATGAAAAAAGTTATTACAAATTATATATAAATCTGTCTTGTCGGCCCGATGTAAGATCCGGGGGGTGTGTGTCCCACATTTAGACCCCTTGCACGCTAATATCTTGGTCAACTAGAGTGATCAGTATAAGTTGTTGGAGATTGTTTAACAATTATTGTAAAATAAATAAACTCTCAAGTTTTAATGTTCCTTGTTGACCCCCTTTCCTAATATCCTGTTAGACCCTCCCCATCGTGGTCTTTCCTCAGGTAGACCCCCTTCTGTTGTGATGTGATAAGCCTTGTTTGTATGAAGTGGTGATAATCAGATAAGGGGGTTGTTTTGGACACAGGAAGACCCCCTACCCATTTGTCACCTACACATTCTATACATTTATATCAACATCGTCTTATCCTGTCATAGGGAAGACTTTAATTACGGCTTTAATCTTGGATGAATTGTTATAAAGTTCATGTGCAAATTAATACTTGTACATCTCTAGCAATATTCTTTTGATTTCTATATCAATGTATATCTATCTTAGTATCTATAAATAAAATATGATCATTCGATTTGTTAGTAATATTCCTGCAACAAAGTAAGGGGTTAGGTATGTTGAGTTATCTGTTTGTCTTTCTGTAGACATAATTTTGTCCACACTGACTTCTTCGAAAGCATAGAACCAAATTGTAATAAAACTGTAATAAAAATCTTTGCATACCAATCAGCCAAAGTATAAGCCTCAGTGTTTTTGTTACCACCATATTGTTTCCGTTTATATTAAAAGAGTTATTTCCCTTGATTTACTTGAATGAATTTAATGTCAAAGAAACCCTGAAAACATCATTGTTATCTCAAGGTAAAATTTCCTCTGGTTTGACATGAAAATTAATATTTCTCAGTGCTGAGTACCCATGCAGTGACCAGGAGTGTCACCCAACAGATCTATTTTGACAAGAAGCCTGTGATTATTGCTGTGGTGACATTCAGGCATGGGACAAATGTGGCAAAGATCAATTTTGACTTGTCAAACTTAACATACATGTAACAGAGGTCACTATTTTCCAATGCCTCGGCATTATCTGGCTTACCTGCAGTCTGACTCGCTACTAAATGAGCTAAACAGAAATTCTCCCAAACAGAGTCAGAAGAATGTGGCTAATATTTTACCTGGTTGATATATTCTTTATAATGCTTTCATATCACCTGTTTACTGTAGAAAAAGGGTGTGAGACTCTACCTTAAGGATCTTAGTCTTGCTACCAAAAACTGCAAATCCATTGGAAACTGTTTTTTCTGGTATGAATAACTTTGATAAATCATTTCTGAAAAGGGAACCACCACTTACACGACTTTTATGAAAAATATATATTTATATGAAATAAGCAAAATATCATCAATAATAGTGTTCTGATTGTAAAAAGTTATGCTGGTCTAGACTGGGATTCGAACCCTGAACTTCAGGTTGTTTTTACTCTCATGCTCTAACTGACTCAGCTTCCTGTCCCAACTGGTCTACAGTTATATACAAAACAAAATTAAGGGGAGTTTACTGTATACAGAAAATCACAGTGAAGTTGGACAGGGATCCTTAATGAAAAAGTTCTTTTCTAGGTTATCCATACTACATAAAATTTTACCTGTTGTGATGACCTCGCATGTTACAAATTCCCTGATATTTGGATTGTGGTAATAAAGATTGTTTGCTCAGGTAAAACCTAAATAGGAATAGACAGTTTGCATTGATATATAAAGTATCTATGGTAAGAACCTTGTAATGAAATAAAAAATGATTGGCTTGCATATATATCCTGTAATTCAACTACCAGTATACTGCTTATTCTGATCAGTCAGGTTTTCTAGATAAATGTAAGCTTTTAATCAGATGACATTAATTGTACTGTCCTTCCATAAAAGTGAAGGGATTTAAACCAAAGTTATATTCTGAGGGGCTCAGTGGGAGAAGTTGAGCCTAATTATGAAAGAGTAGTTCATCACCTTGTATCCCGATATGCTTATGTTTGATATCATTAAACAAATGCATTCTTGCTACCAGAATTTGCTCTGGGGTATGTTCCCACCCCAGGGGGAGTGATGGGTTGGGAGTCAAGTAGGAAATTTAGGTAACACAATGTACTGTGGAAACGGTTGGTATCTGCACCTTACATATACAGTATATATGAAATAGCTAAGTATGAAGAAACGCACACATTTATGCTACTAGGTTTGGCCTTGGGTTCAGCCCCAACCATGGGTACCTACGCCCTGGGCCCTAACTTAGAACAGGTAGGATGCCCTTCCTATCACCATATATACAATTGCTAAGCATGAACAGATGATTCATACACTTATGCTACTATGATTAGCTCTGGGGTCTGACCTTTCCTCTGGGTACTTACTCACTGGGTCATTACATGGAAACAGTTGAAATCTCCACCCTATTATGAAAAATGCAATTGCTTAGCATAGAGAGATAAATATACTCTTGCTTCCAGGATTGGCTCCGAGGTCTGGTCTGACCCCTTGAAACTTTCCTGGGCCATAACATGTAAACAGTCTAGATTCCAATGACGGTATATGAAATTGCTGGGCATGAAAAGACAAATATACTCATGTCCTTTGTGTCTCGCTTGCCCCAATTTTAATCATTGTTGCAGCTTGCATTTCTTGTACTCTTTTGATAAATATAATAATCAACAGTTTTTAATTGAAAATGAAATCCCATGTGAGCTATTAAGGCCCCGTTGGGCCTCTTATTGTATTGATGGAGAAGTCAGTGTCTGGTCAGATGAGTTGACCGCTTATTGACTCGTCATGGAATATCAGACACTATTTAGTGGGGTAGTGTTAGCTTCTTTCAGTCAGTAATTTGGTCTTTGTGTGTTTAATAATGGTTATAAATTTGATTGTCTGTACTGTGAGTACTGTACTATGTATGATGAGGCCTTCATCCTAACCTGAATGTTAATATGAATTTTATAGTTCTGTACTTGATTGTGTGTGAAAAGCCTATCATCCTGGACAATAATGGTTAACAATTTTATAGTTCTGTGTTAAATCATATTCTTTAACAAGGCTTCCTTCTTCTCCTTATTTTACCTTATTTTTGTCACGCCGCCACAAAGTAGTGGAAGCAAGACTAAGGTGATACGGTGATAAGTTTTTGCGTTTAAGTTGGTTTCACTGAAAGTATAAGTGCTAGACCAACCAAACTTTGACCATAGATGCATCTTAGGTAATACATCTCAACCCATGCATCAACTGCTGAATTCGGCCTACCTTTCATGGTCCATTGACTTCGTCAGCCTCTCCATCACCATTAAGTTTTTGCGTTTAAGTTAGTTTCTCTGACACTATAATAAATAGACCAACCAAACTTGACATGTGCATTGATGGTCAAAGCGGGGCACAGGTGAGACATATATCAATCTGAATGGCTTGTTAACCTAAAAGCATATCATTTTGTTACAAATGTTTTTTGTTCCCTGCATGAAATTGGGGGTGGAGAGTGGGAGGGGGATGAATTGTTACCTTACCATTTGCATTTTTATTAAGTATACGTCAGTACACTAAAAGCCCAAAGATTTGCATTTTCAGGGACACAGATCATAGGTCAAGGACATTAGTTGTTACTAAAAAAAGGAAATCGCTGTCATTGCATCACTTGCTCATTTGATTTTCTTCTGATATTGATAAGATTATATATGTTTTTTGGAACACAAATGCACTGTACTATCATGGTCCATTGACTTTGTCAGCCTCTTCATCAACTTTAAGTTTTTGATTTTTTTTCCATGAAAATGTTATTATCTGGGTCATAGATCCAAGGTCAAGGTCACTGTACAATTCTATGTAAAGAACGTCTTTGTCATCATTTTACTGGATTCATTTCTCAGGTTTGGATGAAAGTTTTAATTTATACAACCTAGTATTAACTGGAATACAAATAACTAGAATGATGTTTTTATTTCAAGGTCCCGAACCCTGATTGACTTGATTTATGGACAGAAGGCATGCAATCTGCAGCAACATACATGATATTATCAGATTTAAATAGCAGAACCTTATTAATTAATATTCGTAAAAAAAAATTATGAACTGGAAATAGATATATATCTTTTTCCAGTTCATAAAATGTTTTACAAATATTAATTAATATGACCTAATTAGTCACCCAACTAATATGATCAATGTATTAGTAGAATTAGATTCTTCTTTCACCTGGGGTCTTTGAATAAATGATACTGTTGTTAAGTTTTGTATACAGATATTGTTTTCATGTCTAAAAATAGTATTAATGTTTGACATCAGCAGGGCGTATGTTATCCCAGCTGCTGTTCAAGCAACTATGGATCTCAACTTCCTACGTCTCTGTGTGAAGGACGAACAACAAAGGTACAAATTGCTTTGGCCTTTAGGACTAATGCATGCATGTTCATAAATCAATATTGCATGTATAATTGACCCTCCTGTCGTTAGGCACAACGACATAAATATAACTTTGTTTGGCTTTAGACTAACATATCTATTCAGAATGCTTGTGTAATTGACTCTGTTTGTAGGATTAACAACAAATGTTCAACAAAGCCTAACACCTTTATCCTCGATGTTTTTGCAATTTATTTTTTGAAGGATAAACAACAAAAGATCATTTTGGTTTGGCCTTTGACCTTCTCATACAAACAAGAATGTATTAAAACTTTAAACTTTGGTATAATTGAATATGTGAAGGACAAAGAACAAAAGATCATTTTGGTTTGGCTTTTGACTTACTCAAACATATGTACTGTAGCGGAACTGGACTGGGTTGATTGTTGGAGACCAGGTAGCTCAAATGGTAGAGCATTCGTCTAGACTTCGGCGGGTGCCGGGTTCAAACCCTGATCTGTACATGCATTTTTCTGCTTCTATCAAATTTGGTGCCTGTGACCAACCCTTGTTTCAAGAATTTGACAGGGGGATACCCGCACCTGGGTTGAAAGTACTGTAGTTGTACCTTTAGGGGGCAAAGAATTAGAAAAAGAAGAGAGGAATGAAGTGGAACTAAACTGGGTTGTTCGTCAGTGACCACATAGCTCAATTGGTAAAGTATTTATCTAAAGTTCAGAGGGTCCCGAGTTTGAACCCCGGTCTAGCTGTGCATTTTCCCTGTCCTGTTACAGATATAGGATAGATGTATTCAGACTTCAAACTTGGGTTTGATTGAGTGTTTGAAGGATAAACTCATTCTGCGGACCTCGACATGGCTAGTTCAATGCTTCATCAGTTTGGGAGATCTGCGGTTTGAGTGCTGGTTTGATTTGTTTAATTTTTTCCACTGCTGTTATACAACAAAGATACAAATTTGTTTGGCCTGAGACTTTAACATAATTTTCCCATGTAAAATGTACTGCATGTGTATTAATTCAGTGACTCTGTGAAGAAAAAAACAATTTCAGTTATAATTCCAATGTTGTTATGCATGTACAACAAAGATACAAATTTATTTGGCCTGAGACTTTAACATAACTTTCCCATGCAGCACTGCAATTAAGTGACATGTGTGAGGAAAATACAATATAAGTACCCTTTGGTTTGACTAACATGCTATTCATTCCTATTTTTATTTATCATTTGTTGAAATTACATGTGTTTAGTTATTGTTAATGGATAACCTTGTGAATTCATTGATAACATTAAGATACAACTAAGGTTGGTCTTGGAACTAACAATGACCAGTCAAGTGAAATGTGATTTATTTAAGAAATAATTCAAATATTTTGAACTTTAAAGTATGTGTGTGTGGAGTTCTCATAACATTTCAGTACTTGGATACATTTTGTTGCAAAAATGCATTAGAAAAGTCTAATTTTGTGTCCTCTGTATAAGAGTGCTTTTGTTGAAACCTAAAGCAGTTCAAATATTTATATGATTTACAACGACATTAATGCTGCAACCTTAAGTAGCCTTCATTGACCTAATTCCCTCCCACCAATACATTGCTGGCAATAGATTACATTGCAGATCTTACAGTTGTACACATAAACAACACAAAGGCTGGTTTGGGACCAAGTGATAACCATGGTAATTTATTGTCGCTGCTTATAAATGACAACAAAATATTTAAATGATACACATACTGTTAGTTATGTAATGTTATGCTGTGACCCTTACACCAATATATATATGCAAATACAGTCAAACTTTGGTGTTTCGAACTTTGTGGGACCATTAGGAGAAAAAATTGCAACATCACGACTTCGACTCAAGAATTTTGAACATCAAACATCATTGAGATCCTGTACATAAATTAGGACCGAATGATTCTTAAATGACGCAACTCAGACTTAGAAATCTAACTAAAATCTATAAATAATGAATTTACAGCAATTAGAACAGCATGATTATTCATTCCCCCTAGTTTGTGTATAAGGAATTTTATTGAATCCAACACTGTTTGTGAATTAAATTTCCAAAGCCTGTGCTCGTGTTAATGTATAAGTAATTTTTTCACTTCGATTTATTAGTTGTAATTTTCAATTTTCAGCTACAAATTTGACTCATAAAAGTTTAATTCAGTAATAAAATTTAAGCAGTGTTATTTAGGGAAAAAACTTTGGACTTTGTCAAAAGTTCGACACATCAAGAGGTTTGAATCTTTGAAGTTTGATTTATGGAAATTTGACTTAATATATTTAAGGTAATTACATAGGTATATACAATGAGAGCTTCTAAATTCACAAGCTAGAGAGTCATTTGAAAATACTACTACTACAAATATTAAAAACTGAAGTTATTAATTTTAAAGATGACTGAAGCCTCAAGGATAATTGAAAGTGTCAGAAAACTGATTTTCAGTGAGATCTGTATATTACAATTTTCTATATACTATTTCTGTATATATATGTTTCTTTGTTGTAGACAAATGTACTTGAAGAAGATGAGGTACTTTACATTAGTATCTACTAATAATTGCATAATGTTACTGATAGTGATATAATAAAATAAAATAACTTAACTCTTTCGTTACTATATACATGTACATGTATACATATACCGTAGTATATGTGCTACTGTCTTGTATAATCAACATAATTTTGTGTATTCTCGTCGCCACCTGTGATCTGATATTCCGTCTTTGCGTATTGCAGAGTTATCTTCTCTTGTGAGCAGGTATTGATTGTTACGTCTTTTGTTTTTGAGAGTAACGTCATCAATTTTTGAGAAAAACAACGACACACACCAATGGCGTAACAATCAAAACCTGCTCACAAGAGAAGATAACTCTGAATAAGCAAAGACGGATTACTGTATAGTGGTTATATTTAGCAGGGTTTTATTTTCCATATACTTGAATTTGTTGATGCATAATATTGTGATCCACAAAATATTGGAAGCGGGTGTACAGTGAAAATTAACCCCCGTAAATATGTTCCGTAAACAAAAATGCGTAATTGACGCCGCAAATTTAAAGCACTATACAGTACTGGGCAAGTAAGATCGACTAAGATTACTCACTTCTGAATATCTAACACACAGTGAACATAAATTTCAAGGAACTTATTTTTCCTGTTATCTGGTAAATACTTGTAAAAAATTGGGGTACTTCCTTCTTTATTGTGTGAGAAGACGAGATTTCGGCTTCTCCTTTCCTCATTGGCTGGGGTTTATTAACCAAATATTCGAGTACAAATCATGTACATCAGGATAGTATATTAATATATTAACTTCTCCATTTTCAAGTTAATTGAACAAAGTATTTTGTAGCTGATTGGCTATTTTGTGGCTGAGAAATACTGAATAAATCCATGGTAACAAACTTGAAATTGTATATAGTCCCATAAAAATAATAATGAAAAGGAAAAATTAAAAAATATATATTTAATACAATAAATAATTTAGAATGAAAGGTAAAAGAGTGGTCCTTTTAAGATTGGCTCATAGGTGAATTTCCTCAGATTATATACATGGTTACATGGTACAGAAAGATTCAACTAATTTTGTTAATTTCAAACAATAAATGTATACAGTAGAGCCCTGATTAGAAAGACATCATATTATAAAAAGGGCCACTCTGGCCCCTAAAACACAGGTCAGTGTTACAATCACTTGAGAGGTGGCTTGGTCAATGAGGCACAACTGTATTAAAAAATAAAGTTCCTTTATAGTCAATAATTTAGTCTCCTTCTTTATAGTCAATAACCCAGTCACCTTCCTTTATAGTCAATAATCCAGTCTCCTTCTTTATAGTCAATAACCCAGTCACCTTCCTTTATAGTCAATAATCCAGTTACCTTCCTTTATAGACAATAATCCAGTCTCCTTCCTTTATAGTCATTACTCCAGTCTCCTTCCTTTATAGACAATAATCCAGTCTCCTTCCTTTATAGTCAATAATCCAGTCTCCTTCCTTTGTAGTCAATAATCCAGTGTCCTTCCTTTATAGTCAATAATCCACCTTCCTTCCTTTATAGTCAATAATCCAGCCTCCTTCCTGTATAGTCAATAACCAGTCTCCTTCCTTTATAGTCAATAATCCAGACTCCATCCGTTATAGTCAATAATCCAGTCACCTTCCTCTGTATGGTCAATGATCCAGTCACCTTTCTCTATAGTCAATAATCCAGTCACCTTACTCTATAGTCAATAATCCAGTCTCCATCCTCTATAGTCAATAATCCAGTCACCATCCTCTATAGTCAATAGTCCAGTCACCTTCTTCTATAGTCAATAATCTAGTCACCTTCCTCTATAGTCAATAATCCAGTCACCATCCTCTATAGTCAATATAATAGAGCATCCAGCCACCTTTAATTTGTTTACGATACATAGTCATGCTTCCTTTGTTAATGAAAGATCATCTAGCCACCTTTGTTTATAATAGGTAATCCAGCTTCCTTTGTTAACGATACATAATCCAGCCACCTTTTTTTACAGTAGATAATCCAAAACACGATAGTTAAGGCGCTCAGTCTTTGAATATCTAATCCTTCTTCCTGGAAAGTTGTTCATATTTTAACTGATTTTTAAGTTGTTTTGAAGCACATTTTATGAGGCACATGGAATAAATGCTATATAAAGAAAAGTGTTGTCCTCCAGGATGTTTTGAAGCTCAGAATGAGAAAACATTTACCACATACTGGACAAGTGTCATAGTCATTTCATTCGCCATGTTTCCAGGGCAGCGAAACAGTCCCTCTTCACCTTTTGTATACATGACATTGTAACACTTTACAACTTGTTGAGTTATCTACATGACACAGTAACATTGTGACAATTCATTATCACAGTGAAACAGGCCCTCTTCACCTTTTGTATACATGACATTGTAACACTATATAACTTGTTGAGTTATCTACATGACACAGTAGCATTGTGACAATTCATTATCACAGTGAAACAGGCCCTCTTCACCT